GATTTTTCCGGTTAATACAAAAATGGATTACATGTAATGTTTCACAAGCGGAATACAAACAAACTCCGTATCATTTCGTTCCGTTTGAAATCCCCCCTGATATTTTGTATTAATCCAGAAGCCATGTTTTAAATGTAGGTCAGAGATGTGCTACAACGACATGGACATGTATTTTGAGTGTTCTATTCCGTAATATACTATATATTTGTGTCTGTGACATATATATGAGATCTATATTATATAAACCGTGAGTAGACATCGTTGTCATGAACTGTTAACCACTTATGTGAGTTTTTCAAGCCGATTTTGTTCCGCCCGGATTTCGGGCGGAAACTGCATCAAAGAATTAGTGCTTCGGAAATGAGAGGTCGCAGTCGGCAAAATCATATCCGATTAAAAAAAGGCCGACCAGCGGCCTCTCATGTTATGGGAGTAGGTGATCACCCTGTCCGTGGAGAGAGGATAAAACCATCTGTTGGACTTAGGTATATATGTTACTTGTTATTTCAAAGGTAGAGTCCATTTCATGATAGATAAACCTGTATTTTCACCTGTGGTTTCATGTACACATGATCACCAGGAGTGATTTATTATACCTGTTCAAAAATGTAAATTTCAAAAATGTCAAAGACAGTAAAGCATCCACCTTAGCATCACGTTATCAAGTGAATAATAACCAATGATGGCATAAAAGCCTGGCATGTATATATCTCCTTTTCAACAGGTGTTGCCCATGTTCATATGCATGCATACAAATTCACAATAAAAGACAGTCAAATCATAATTCATATTTATGACAAAATAAATCAATATTGAATCGCCTGAACTACATGCACATGAAAGGTATGACACAAACATCAACATTTTAACCAAGAACCGACATTTTTACCATTGTTTCAGAGAATTTGTTAACACTCGCTCCGCCCGGCCATCATAAAATATAAATACTCTATATGTTATAAAATATAACCTGGAATAATACTGCAAACTCAGAAAACTATGCTATGCCTTATTCGATCTGTTTGACAATGGAAATAATGTCCGATAAATTCTAGCTTTCTACACTTGACAGTGCTTGAACAAGTTTATTATTACATCTTCAGAAAAAAGAATTCGCCTCGCTCTGCTCGGCAGGGAAATTATAATTGTCACAATCTCAGAAATAATGAAGTTCTATATATTGTTTGGTGCCAGAAAGTTGTATACATGTACAACCGACATGACAATTATAGTTTATTAGTTTTTTTGAGTCTTCTGAGTTTAAAAATTTTGGGCAACACTCAAAATAAATTCCTGGCCTATCTTCAGTAGAGCTACTGGATATATATGTATACATATATCTAAACATCGATATAGGAGCTACCGTCATCTTATGTTCTGAGAAATGTTGATGATATAAAAAGGGTTTGGGGGACAACAAGGGCAAAAAATCTGAAATTAATCTGTTTATATTGGCTCCGACATTTTAAATATCTAGTTAATTTAGATTCATCAGGAAAGAGATACGACGCAACGGATATTTTCGGGTAATTCCAACAATCGACACATTTTTGTCTGAGAAAAAAAGGAGAGCTGTCTTTCGCATTTGAAATTCATTTGAATTTTTGCTTTGCTTAACAATAATAAAGTGATGAATCAACCAAAAAATGTTGTCTGTAAAATAAATTAAAACACTAAAATGTGTATCTAAAAAGCCACCAGATGGCACGACAGAGCTTCTAGATCTAAAAAAAAATCCGGGGGCCTTCGGTGCGACTTTCTGCATGCACATCCAAAAGAGCCCAGCTACGCGCCTGAATACGACTGTGTCGCGTGCTGTTCGTTAACTTGGTAATCATTCGCTAACTTGGTAATCAAGCAAAGGAAGATGATTATCTGAACGGGAGGGAGATATCGTCAGACAAGGGGAAAACCCCGCTATATAGCGCGTGAGTTCCGTGTAGATCAAAGCTCGTGTGTATTCAGGTCCAACTCCCCAATGTTGTCTTCATTACGGGAAGAGTACGCAAAGATGCAGTGCACGTGTAGGAATGTTGGTCATTTTCAGACAGGGTGTTGGATTGTGTATATATTGTGGGCGTTTATTTGTAGCTATAGTGAGGACAAGGCATAGTCGGGTAAACAGAGCCAGTCGAAAGTACACGATAAATTATTATCACAGGTCCACACTATAATTCTTCCGGAATATTTACCATACAAGCTATGACAAATATCACTGGTGCATAAAAAAAACATGACAAACTAGGAAGCTAGAAAAGAAAAGAAATAGCAATTGTAGGCAAAAAAAAATAATCAAGTAAGTGAGTAAATATGACAGTACTCCTATAGCATAAGAGGCCGCTGGTCGGCCTTTTTTTCTATCGGATATGATTTTGCCGACTGCGACGTCTGTGAAAAATTATCTCGCCGTGTAAACCTCTAACACTGTTGGAGTACTATGCCATATACCTAAGGTAGGAATAACAAAACATGAAAAGAATGAAAGAAGAAATCAGCGGAGGCAAAATATACTAGGTAGGAATTAAGCAATGAAGGAAGTAAGGGAGAAAGGATAGCAGTCAGGAAATAAGCAAGCAAGGAAGTTATGTAACAAGCAAGGAAGCTATGTATCACGCAAGGAAGCTATGTAGCAAGCAAGGAAGCTATGTAGCACGCAAGAAAGCTATGTGGCAAGCAAGGAAGCTATGTAGCACGCAGGGAAGCTATGTAGCAAGCAAGGAAGCTATGTATCATGACAGGAAGCTATGTAGCAAGCAAGAAAGCCATGTAGCAAGCAACAAATCTATGCAGCAAGCAAGGAAGCTATGCAGCACAAGCCAGAAAGCTTATGTAGCAAGCAAGGAAGCTTATGTAGCAGGCAACAAATCTATGCAACAAGCAAGGAAGCTATGCAGCACAAGCAATGTAGCTATGTAGCAAGCAACAAATCTATGCAACAAGCACGGAAGCTATGCAGCACAAGCAAGGGAGCCATGCAGCAAGCAAGGAAGCTTATGTAGCAGGCAACAAATCTATGCAACAAGCAAGGAAGCTATGCAGCACAAGCAATGTAGCTATGTAGCAAGCTACAAATCTATGCAGCAAGCAATGAAGCTATGCAGCACAAGCAAGGAAGCCATGCAGCAAGCAAGGAAGATATCTAGCAGACAGCAAAGCTATGCAGCAAGCAAGGAAGCTATGCAGCAAGCAAGGAAGCCATGAAACAAGCAAGGAAGTCATGCAGCGAGCATGGAAGCTATGTAGCAAGCAACGAATCTATGTAGCAAGCAACGAAGATATGCAGCACAAGCAAGGAAGCTACGTAGCAAGCAAGAAATCTATGCAGCAAGCAAGGAAGCTATGCAGCACAAGCAAGGAAGCTATGCAGCACAAGCATGGAAGCTATGCAGCACAAGCATGGAAGCTATGTAGCAAGCAAGAAATCTATGCAGCAAGCAACGAAGATATGCAGCACAAGCAAGGAAGCTATGCAGCACAAGCATGGAAGTTATGCAGCATGCAGGGAAGCTATTCAGCACAAGCAAGGAAGCTTTGCAGCATGTAGCAAGCAACGAAGTTGTGCAGCACAAGCAAGGAAGCTATGTAACAAGGAAGGAAGCCATGCAGCAATAAGATTAGCTATACAGTAAGCAAGACAGCAAAGCAGCAAGCAAGAAAGGTGTACAGCAAGAAAGACAACTATTTCATAAACAATATAACTATGTAGCAAGTAAAATAATCATGCACCAAGAAAGCTACAATCAAGATAATTAGACAGAGGGCAAGATAGCTATGCAGCAAGCAAAATAACTGGGAAGCATGTAAGATATATTTGAAACAATCAATATAGCAATGCAGTCAGCAAGATAACTATGAAACAAGCAAGAGATGTGAGCTACAAGTAAAATGGCTACGTAGCATACAATCGAAATATTCATCCGTGGTCAGTATAATGTGACCGGGCAGAATACTGTGCTGGGTGCCTTCGGCATGGTATTTCAGTGAGATAGCACTATAAAGTCGGCATCAGATCCGCGCTATCACAAGGAGGCAACTACACCAACATACCCTGTCTCCAGCACACATATACACATGCACGCATACACAACACACATGGAGGCACGTCCTTAAATGACATTAGCTGTTAATAGGACGTTAAACAAAATAAAACCAAACCAAACTACAGCTATCGTTATAGCTAAACAGTCTTTAGAAAAGGTACAGTGGAAGCCGTTAATTCGTATCAAAGATGGAAACAATAAGGCTTAAATGAATCTTAGTAAGGAAACATTCCCGTACTTATACCGTCCGAGTCCCACTGGTAACAGTTGTCGAGAAAATCACAATACATCCACAGGCCGAAGCGCGATCCGAGCGGCGAAGTTACCCAATACGGGGCGGCAAACCCGATGGTGTTGAGTACAAACCCCACGGCTATCATCAGTAGCGCCACCAGGTTTGTCGGGGATTCCGCTACTCCACCCATTGATCAAATATGTCGACTGAAAGAATGTGGTGTTTGTATTCTGAAATCAGAAGAAATGAAATATCTGGTTTGACTGGTATAGGTTTTGGGGTTGGGGATATTTCAGCAGAAAAATACGTACATTTATACAAATTTTCCTTTATTAATCCAAATGCAATTAGTAAATCTTTCTAATCAAAATGTTAGATTTTTTTAATTCAAATGTGCTATATTTTTTATTCAATTCAAATGATAATTTTATATTTCTAATATGCATTAATTATTTCAACGTATCACACATCACAGATTTAAGTATGTTTTATATGGAGTATGACAAACCCTAATCCTCTACAGTACACGGGGACCTGAGATTGTGTTACAGTAGGTATGTTTGGATCAGGCCTGATGTTTAGAGAGTAAAGTTAAACAGTTTAGGGGTTAAATCTATGTTGGCTGAATAAAGACGTCCAAATATATATGTTCATCTCGTTATAACGAGATAGGATCTTGTTATAACGACTAAGTATCACGTTATAACGAGAGAGTTAATTCTGATAATGATAAGCTAATTTCTTATAACGATATCTACTTGTTATAACGAGAGCCCAAGTCCTGATAACGATATATTTACTCATTACAACGAGATACTGAGTCCTTATAACGATATCTAAACTCGTTAAAAGGAGATAATGAGTCCTTATAACGATATCTGAACTCGTTAAAAGGATACACCGTGTCCTTAAAACAATATCTAAACTCGTTAAAAAGATATACTGAGTCCTTATAACGACATTTAAACTCATTAAAAATGATATACTGAGTCCTTATAACGACATTTAAACTCGTTAAAATGATATTCTGAGTCCTTATAACGACATTTAAACTCGTTAAAATGATAAACTGAGTCCTTATAACGATATCTAAACTCGTAAAAAGGAGATACTGAGTCCTTATAACGACATCTAAACTCGTTAAAAGGAAATAATGAGTCCTTATAACGATATCTGAACTCGTTAAAAGGATACAACGTGTCCTTAAAACAATATCTAAACTCGTTAAAAAGACATACTGAGTCCTTATAACGACATTTAAACTCGTAAAAAGGAGATACTGAGTCCTTATAACGACATCTAAACTCGTTAAAAGGAAATAATGAGTCCTTATAACGATATCTGAACTCGTTAAAAGGATACACCGTGTCCTTAAAACACTATCTAAACTCGTTAAAAAGATATACTGAGTCCTTATAACGGCATTTAAACTCATTAAGAATGATATACTGAGTCCTTATAACGACATTTAAACTCGTTAAAATGATATACTGAATCCTTATAACGATATCTAAACTCGTTAAAAGGAGTTACTGAGTCCTTATAACGATATCTAAACTCGTTAAAAGAAGATACTAAGTCGTTATAACGATATTTAAACTCGTTAAAAGGAGATACTGAGTCCTTATAACTATATCTTAACTCTTTAAAAGGAGATACTAAGTCGTTATAACGATATTTAAACTCGTTAAAAGGAGATACTGAGTCCTTATAACTATATCTTAACTCTTTAAAAGGAGATACTAAGTCGTTATAACGATATTTAAACTCGTCAAAAGGAGATACTGAGTCCTTATAACGATCTCTAAACTCGTTAAAAGGATATACAAAGTCGTTATAACGATATTTAAACTCGTCAAAAGGAGATACTGAGTCCTTATAACGGCATCTTAACTCGTTAAAAGGAGATACTGAGTCCTTATAACGATATCTTAACTCTTTAAAAGGAGATACTAAGTCGTTATAACGATATTTAAACTCGTCAAAAGGAGATACTGAGTCCTTATAACGACATCTAAACTCGTTAAAAGGAGATACTGAGTCCTTATAACGATATCTTAACTCGTTAAAAGGAGATACTAAGTCGTTATAACGATATTTAAACTCGTTAAAAGGAGATACTGAGTCCTTATAACGATATCTAAACTCGTTAAAAGGAGATACAAAGTCGTTATAACGAGATACTAAGTCATTATAACAAGATATCAAATAATTTAAGATATACAAAGTCGTTATAACGAGATACTAAGTCATTATAACAGTATACTAAGTCCTTTAAAACAAGACACTAAGTCGTAATAGCGAGATACTTAGTCGTAATAACGAGATGCGTATTCATTATAACGAGATACTATGTCGTTTTTACTAGATAAAATTTCGTTATAACGAGATAAAAAGAATAATTTGGATGTCTCAATCAGCCAACGTATTAATAAAGCCGGAGAAGGGAGTTTTTAGCGAAATGGGTTTATCTACATATCAGTATTGGTCAACATACCGAATGTAACAAATTTTGATGTATCTTGCAGGACCAACGAGATGACGCCACAAATTGGCGAAAGTGTTCGAAAAAATCGGGCAATCTTTTCATCACTCAACTTCAATAGGCTACATACACAAGCCAGAAGACATCAACATATAGTAGACCCTGTACGTAGTCTGGTGATGTATAACAACATAACAGGCACGTAGATCTGATCAGTCAGTGTGGAGAGGTTGTACACTGAGGTCTGTACCGAGGATACAAGGATTGATGAACTACAGTTAATCAGTACATGGAACAAGTACACAGATAATAAACGTTTATCTGTTTATTACATTTACAACACCTACATCTAACATACTAGCGTGCCAAATAGAGTTCAGTCCCCTTGATTCATTTGTAAATTAACCCTTTAACCCCGGAAAGATCTCTTTAGACTTACCGAGATCAGAAGATAGAAGAGCAAGCAGTACCTTAGATGTGAACGGGATTAAAGAAATAAGGCGTGTTTGTCTGAACATCGAAATATACGAGGTTCACTAGACATGCGAATGCAAGAAGTAAAAGAAAAAATCTGAGATTTTTGTTAAACGTTTCTATTATATAAACGAATTAAACTCAAAAATATGTCAAGGTAGCATCGCAATTATCATGAAGTTACGACTGTAGGAATGGAACATGTATATAGGTAGACCGGCAAAATTCATATTTGAGTTTATACTTCTACATTGATCCAGATACAAAAAACTTAATGATTGTTCAAAGTTTTAAGGGAATTCACTTCGATACACTGTGTAAGGTAGCATATATCCTTAACTCTAACACAGATCACAGGTATAACGAAAAATATGAAAAAGAACATCATTCCATTGTTTTCCTTTTGACGTCACAGACCGTGAGGAAATGCCACACTGAGGCCCGTATTCATGAATGCTCAAACTCGGGTTTTGTGCTCAAACCAAATTTCGTTTTATCCGGTGATAAACCTATGATACTTCATATTTTGACATTTTAAAGAGTCATTACAATGTATAAGTCAGTTTCCGGCGAATCTGGAATTACGGCCTCGAATTCTACACGGTAAGGTAGAAAATTCATATCCCGCAACTTCACGTGTAGGATACAGACTGTAGTATCATCTTATATGGATTATAAAATCACTATCGTTTCAGCACTCAACAACTTACACGAGCTACAATAGCTGATGAAAAAATCGTCAAATTACAACGCTTTTACTCTTATTGTTCTATATCAAATACAAGGAAAATATTTACCGCCCCCATCAAAATACAAACATATGAACCTACTTACCTTAGTCCTAGTGATATGACCACTGCTTGACCGCTGGCTAGCTACTGTCCGTGCACTATAGGAGTAGGAGAGGGTGTGTAGATATTGTACTAAAGTCCTAGGCACTCGATGAAGGCGTATATAAACCGGCTAGCACATTAAATGTCAGACTTTTTTTCTCCGATCATATACACACATTGGCTATCCATCCATCTATAAGAATGACTTATGACGGTTACTGCCTTTAGCTAACGACCTATATATAACCCACAATGACGAGGCTCTACCGTTCTCTGCCTAATTAATAGAGCGCGCTTACCCTTGTCGTGCCGACACTACAGAAACCTCACCGGCGAAACTATAGCACACGAGCTAATGAGGTAGTTAGAAACAGGATAAGTAGGACGCAGCTGATGAAGGCTAGCCGTTTAAACCAATATGAATTCTGAGGCGTAATACATACCAGAGTGAGCGCAAACTGGTGAAAGTATTCATGTTGATTGCTGAATAAAATGTACGTTATCAGTTCATAAAAAAACTCCGGTTCCTTTTTTAATATATATGTTTCTAATCTATGAATAATTCTAGGTACGTCATCGTTTCATTAAGTTCCGTTAATGTGTAATTCACGGATATGTATTTTTCTTTACTTAACATTTGATTTACAGTTTTCTAATTGAATAAGGGAAAGTGTCGTGATTAAAACCATATCTTAATTTACTACCATAATCTAAGTACTTAATGCAAACTGTATAGTTTGAAATTAATGATCTTGTTTCAAAAATTCTGCCTCGAAATAATAGGAAAGGGGTAAATAGTAAACTGTGACGTCACACTACAAAGGCGTCATGCGATTACGAAATCAAATGAAATGCTCCGACAAAAGTTACTTTTTACGTGGGTCACAAATTGGACGTTTCTGAAAATGCGTTTAAGAATCAGTTTTTCGTTGAATATGTTTTTATATTTCATTTGTGTTTTACAATTTTCATAATTCCTCATCGTACTTCGCACTGTTGAATAATTCATAAATATTATACACAGCATGTTATGGCGGGTACGTATATGGCGGACGTCGCTATAGCGAACTAATGTGTGACGTCATAGTTTATGACGTCACAACATATACTTCAAATAAACAGTCTGAAGAATCTCCTAGAAGAGATGAAAGTACTAAAGACTCGTTGTTGAGAATTTTTTTTTTATAATATATATATATATATAGGCGCAGGTTTTAATTTGCTTTGCTGTAAAGGGGAATTTCCTTTCGCTCAATCGGCAGGGCGACGGACTGGGACGCCGGGGTATCTGGTTCCAATTCTGGATGCAACACACTGCTCTCCTTCCTATTGCATTTATAATAATATAAATGGGAAACAGTTGTCCGTGCTCTGCAATATGTTACAAAAAACACGATAAGTTGAGATTGGATGGTCCCATTGATATCTGGAGCGATACAAAACGATCGCCCGCCACAATGGTAAGCAAACACTTGGCCTACAAATGATGGAGTAAAAATCATTTGATGTGGGGAAGAGAACCTACCACCCACTAATTTACATCGCATGTTATCTACAATAACAAAAGTAGGGACATACCACGGGAGTAACTCTCCCCATTGATGAATGGAAGTGTACGGTGCGCGCGCTTGTGAGCCTGCGTTTCTATTTATCTGAAGATTAAAAGATATACGTGTATGTTCATGAAACTATGGTACACACGTTGCAGGAATAAATAAATATGTAACGTTAGTGCACATATCTCTTTACAAGTTCGTGACGGAACATTGATTTTCCACAACGTTCTTTCCATCCCTATAAGGGGTCATCGGAATGCGACGTTGCCCATGCCCCTTCAGGTGGTCATTAGAAATCGACGTTGTCCATGCCCCTATAGTGGGTTATCAGATTATGACGTTGTCCATGCCCCTATAGTGGGTTATCAGATTATGACGTTGTCCATGCCCATATAGTGGGTTATCAGATTATGACGTTGTCCATGCCCATATAGTGGGTTATCAGATTATGACGTTGTCCATGCCCCTATAGTGGGTTATCAGATTATGACGTTGTCCATGCCCATATAGTGGGTTATCAGATTATGACGTTGTCCATGCCCATATAGTGGGTTATCAGATTATGACGTTGTCCATGCCCCTATAGTGGGTTATCAGATTATGACGTTGTCCATGCCCATATAGTGGGTTATCAGATTATGACGTTGTCCATGCCCATATAGTGGGTTATCAGATTATGACGTTGTCCATGCCCCTATAGTGGGTTATCAGATTATGACGTTGTCCATGCCCATATAGTGGGTTATCAGATTATGACGTTGTCCATGCCCCTATAGTGGGTTATCAGATTAGGACATTGTCCATGCCCCTATAGTGGGTTATCAGGTTAGAACGTTGTCCATGCCCCTATAGTGGGTTATCAGATTATGACGTTGTCTATGCACCTTTCGGCGGCATTAGATTATGACGTTACATCCCACTAGGAGTCATTAAAATACGACGGTGTCTCCACCCATCTAGGGTGTCATTAAACGACGTTGCCCTCATCCCTCTAGGGGGTTATTTGAATACGACGTTGTCAATAATTACCCTTCTAACGGATCGTTAGAATACGACGTTGCCCCCACCCATCCAAGGGACCTTAAATTATGACGTTGTCCAGACCCCTCTTGGGGCCTTAGATTATGACATTGTCCCCACTCCAGAAGGAATTAATTAGACTACGATGTTGTCCCTACCTCTTTAGAGGGTCATTAGAATACAAGCTTGTCCTTACCCCTCTAGGGGCCTTATCTTATGATGTATCATTAGACTGCGAAGTTGCCCCCTTGGGGGCCTTAGATTATGACGTTGCCCCGATCCCTCAAAGGGGGGGAAAATTCAAGGGAACTTATACTCCGCATATGAAGGAATTGTGGGTTTTTACGTTAAGCTTGAAACTTGGCATGCTTCGAAATGATGGCAGAACAATTATTGACAGGTATAGGTCAAGGCGAAGTGTCATGTTTTTGGACTATTATGTAAGGATACGATGATGACGTGTCCATCAAGCTCAGTAGATACGTTTACAGGGGGAGCATTTGGTCTTATCAAGCTAGCCATCACTGTAACTATACGCTATGCCTAATTTCTGATTTATTTTATACGAAAAGTAGTTGTACCTTGTGCAAACATTGTCTGAATGTTTCATTTTAACCCCATTAGCACAGGACATGTCAAATATAAATGAGCGTCAGAGTATAATATGTAAAGTAGTACTTTGTAAATATGTATGTAACCGGTTTGCGTTCATAGTGGCATGAACATTGACAAAATGCCATTCAATCCTGATATTTACATTCTATTTTTTTTGGTTATTATTTACCTTAACAAAGATATTCCCTTTCATTTCGATATTGAAGTGTCTGTATCGTTAGTGCAAACGAGATTCCTGGAACAGCCTAACGTCACCAAAAGGTTGCTTCTAACGGTTGTCTCATGTCAATCGAGGCTAAAGGAGAAACTTCAAAATGACTCTGATCCAATTGCGTTAATAGCACTATGAACTCAATTTCATACGGTTATACTTACAGAGGAACTTGCAGTGGAAATGTAAATATTTACATGTGACATATCCCTGTGCCAATGACAAATTATTTTTCATTTCGTATTCAGTATTTTAAAAGTGTCATTTATTAAAATGTTGAATCCTTAAATGAAACCCCATTACACTGCCATCCTTTGTACAGCGAGAGTTTGGCGATACGTCGCGAGGGATGACGTGTTAACGAACCATCTGTTAAGAAGAGAATGCAGAAGAGGTTCTGTGGGTTTGAGTGGAAGGAATCGATAAATTGCAACCATAGGGACCTGAGAATTTGTTACAGCTTTATTTGGACCTAAACAAAGGCGTTCAGAGTATTTTTTACATGTTTTGATATATATAAATCATCATCGGGGTGAAAATTTTACCGAAAGTTGATATAAACCCCATAAACGTGTACAATTACTATGGACACCTTAGTTTAGGCCGAATGTATATTTACCAAATTCTCAGGTCCCTGTGATTGTTACTAGAGTGGACGACAAGTTATATAAATGTGTACAGTACGTAGTCCTCACGTGCATGTCTTGTGTGACCATGATTCGGAAATAAACAATGTTGAAAACTCATTTTATTTCACATATAAGCAAAGGCTGGCATACTTACTTATGATTCATAAGTATGTACACACCATACATATGTAAATCCGCCTCCCCGTGTTGTCAATAACTTCTAGTCATGGGACATAAATTTGTGGCGATATACGCCCACATAGTAAAGACTGTATAACTCTGTCGCGTGCTAAGTCCTCAGGGTGTGGTCAAATTATTCTTTCCCTTCCTGAATGACCAATGAGTGTTTAAAGCTGTCACGAGAACTGGGCGTCACGAGAAACCGCTCAATGCGTCACGTACATTTGACCGATATTCCACGTGGGGGTGACACGCGGGATCTAATGCTCTGAACAGCTTCGTTCAGTCACCTAAATCAGATCTTGCAACTTACTACGGAGATATTCACAAAGTATATTTGAACTAGGAACTGTTTCTATAAAATTCATGATACAATTGAGCGGTTTTTTTTTAATCTTCAGTTGTAAACTTGAAGCCATAACAAGATTGTTTTATGTTACTACAAATAGACCTCAGGAAAATGTCATAATTTCTTTTCCCATTTATTCAAAAGTCCTCTTTTTAGGGCGGCGGCCGTCTGTCTGTCCGGCGTCAACTTTTTTCTGTCTACAACTTTTGTATAACCAATAGGAAGAGGGTGATAATATTTGACACATTTTTTCGGAAACACCCAAAAAGCACAGGGTGATGAAATTTTTGAAAGTTTGTTCATGTTATAATATTTTAAACAATTTCTTCTCTTACTCAAAATGCTCAGGGATATATTTGGTCAGAAGCATTCGGAGATGAAGAGCTACCAACTTTCTTCAAATAAATGACTTTCGATGTTGAAGAAGTCAAATGTTTAAAATCTTCATTCAACTTCTTTACAATACCACAAAGCCAAGAGTAATGACACTTGGCTTGTATAATGCTGGCATGATAGGCTACACAGTTTGTTCAAATAAATGACCTTTATCGACTTTCAAGGTCTGAGGGATCAAATGTTTAAGAAATATTCAAATATGATCTTCTTATAACCAAAAGGCTCAGAATAGTGATGTTTGGACTGTTGCTTAATAAAGCCCATTTTAATAAGTTTGCCCTTGTCCTACTTTGAAGGTTACTGGTGTGAGATTAATACCAGGTGAGCGATTCAGGCCCATTGGCCCTCTTGATTATTTTACAGTTCCTTTAATTGTCTCTCATTTTTTGCCAAACCCTTTAAAATGCCAAAATGTTGTTGGACATTTGCTTGACAGAACACTATACTAAAGGTACTACATTCTGAACAGCCCGTCAACAAAGAAGAGGTAATTGGGGCCAGTACAAGGTCAACAAAGAAGAGGTAATTGGGGCCAGTACAAGGTCAACAAAGAAGAGGTCATTGGAGCCAGTACAAGGTCGACAAAGAAGAGGTCATTAGGGCCAGTACAGGGTCGACAAAGAAGAGGTCATTAGGGCCAGTACAGGGTCGACAAAGAAGAGGTCATTGGGGACAGTACAAGGTCGACAAAGAAGAGGTCATTGGGGCCAGTACAAGGTCGACAAAGAAGAAGTCACTGGGGACAGTACAAGGTCGACAAAGAAGAGGTCACTGGGGACAGTACAAGGTCGACAAAGAAGAAGTCACTTGGGACAGTACAAGGTCGACAAAAACGTACTAAAGGAAACGACATCAAACAAATGAAAACATTACTTTTTAAAAGACAAACGTCAAGGTGAAAAGTAAAAATGGATATGGTTGATCAAATCTTTTTGAACAGACCAACAGTTTTCAGGTACAATGGAATAGTAGAAATATTTCTTGTTCCGAAAACAGATTTAAGACTTGTTATATTATTGCATTTTTTTCTCTGCTTTTGGCTGAATATCAGTGCAATCTAATAACAAGTGTTTTACTGTACATAGTTAGTGACATGCTTAACATGGAGGCTCTATTCATGCTTCAATAATAAATACAAATGGGTTATTTATGAATAGGACATCCAGACACAGGCAAAAGTGGAGACCAGAATTGTATTTACCTGTTAAACAAGAAATACCTCTCATACAGAGGAATAAAACAAAGCAACAAAAACAACAGACCCATTCATCAACAGTAAATAAATATATATAACTTTAATATGACAGGTAGCTTAGGTGTAGATACATGTTTTAGCTGTATGTGCTACAGTGGCTATAGACAGTTATCCTGCTGGTCTTCATTGCTACAACTTAAGGAGGTATGCTACTCTACAACTTAAGGAGGTATGTTCCTTTATAACTTAAGGATGTATGTTACCTTACAACTTAAGTATGTATGTTACCTTACAACTTAAGGACTATGTTACTTTACAACTTAAGTACGCATGTTACCTTACAACTTAAGTAGGTATGTTTACAACTTAAGTACGTATGTTACCTTACAACTTAAGGATGTATGTTACTCTACAACTTAAGTACGTATGTTACCTTACAACTTAAGGACTATGTTACTTTACAACTTAAGGATGTATGTTACCTTAAATACGTATGTTACCTTACAACTTAAGTATGTATGTTACCTTACAACTTAAGGACTATGTTACTTTACAACTTAAGGATGTATGTTACCTTGCAACTTAAGGAGATATGTTGCTCTACAACTTAAGGACATATGTTACCTTACAACTTAAGGTCCATAACAGGTCTATATTATGAAACCTGTACAATAACATACTTTGATCAGGACAAAGTTGATTTATTGATAAGACAATTACCGGTAATATAAGTCAGTGTTGACAAATCTTGTCACTTGTTACTGATGCACCTAGAGGGAAATTCCCTTTAGTTCAACCAGTACAGCACTGGACTAGAGATCTGTAGTCAGGTGTTCGACTCCTAGTAGAGGCGCTCAGGAAACAAAATGAGCTCAGTTACTATATGTAAACATTGATGCATGGCCATTAGGTATTTGTTATTTTTTCAAGTGGTCAACTCCATCACAAGTCACAGATGTTATGTGTAAAGTAGCATACATCCTTAAGTCATCATCATTTAGCAGCAAGTTGGTGGCACTGAAGACAATGCTATACTATAAAGCTACAGGGACAGATAATGATTCGTTGATAAAGAGCTTTGAACTTCACCCCAGGTTCAAAGCGAAAAATGCATTGAAAAGATATAAACGTACAAACACATGTTCACTGACTCAGGTCTGAAGTGGACAATTTACGTGGACAGACTCATAGAAATGCTGTTTAAACTTCATACCATGTAACATATACACACTGAAATCAAATTATTCTGGAATTATTTTGGTACCGGTAAGTTTTGTCAGATCTACTTGAACTTTCAAATTATTACAGATTTCCCAATAAACAAAAATTCCCATTTTTTATGCAACAATTAATTCATAAACAATTTTAATACATATATGTGAATAAAATTTCAGGAATAAAAAGTGAAAAAGAAAAAATAATCGTAAAAATTATCTATAACTTAAAACTAATTCAAAGAAAATACAATGAAATCCTCAATTTTTCCTACATTTGAAACATTAAAAAAAAATGAAATAGGAAATATTGTAGCTACAACATTACTCTTTTATTTTAATGTACAGTTAACTGAGAATACATAAGTAAAAAAGTTCATCCCACTACTTCAAAGCCTTGTCAGCTTAAAAGGTTGAAATAAAAGATCTATGGTACAAATACATGTACTGAACAGAAAATTAACTCATTCACCCCTGAAATTTCATAATGAATTATTCCAACCTTTGAATTGGAAGAGTTCAAATGTTTCTTCAGTGGTGAATGAGTTAATATGATGTGTGAAGACCAGGAACATAAAAAAATTATCATAATAACGAGACAAAAATCATTGTTAAAATGTCTGCTTAAGCTAACAATGCTTTAAATATCTGTTCCTAGACTCTTGTTGTTTACTGCCTTGTCAGCTTGGATTAATTCATATTTTCTATGACACAAGTTTCCACATCATTTGATGATTCAATGACAGAATCCAATATTTAAATGTATAAATCAATATTCTCAAAAAAAAAAATCATCCTAAAAAAAATCAAATTGAAAACTGTATACCAAGAATTTTTCGCTGCAGTATAATTTTTCGCCTTTTTTTCGCCTGACGTAATGAAGGTGTCAAATTTATCATTACAGTGAATAATTATAAACAACACAATATGCTTAGTTATTAAATGTGAAGGGCGAAATTAACACTAGGTTAATATGGATTATTCTGCCGAGGGTGAAAGCTTTGCTCTGCAAAATTTTCCAGGTATACATAATGGCATGTTTGAATATTTTAGATATCTACGTCATAGGAAAATAAATCTAAAACAAACCAGACTAATTAAATTATATATTGATTATAAGTTATTTTCTATCTAATAACATAAAATAAAAATCTCATTTAAAAGTAACACTTGACTATCTGCAGGAAACTACAGTATTTGGACGGATTTAAGTAAACGATACCTTGTGTTAAATAAAAACAACGGAATGTCATGAAAATATCACAATAAACACAACTAAGAGATATCAATCACAGATCATACCTGAAATCAACTTCATCACAGACACTTGATAGCAATATGTTAATTACATGTTAACTTGTTCCACAACACAATACCCGATTAGTCTTACTCTCAGGGGCCAGGCACAGACTAACCCCACACTATATAAGCATAGAAGGGGTGGGGGTTAGTCTTTGCCTTTCCCCTGTGGTCGTTCTAAGAGATAACAAGAGTACCACCATTTTAAGACTGTTAAAACTGTTAAAATTGCAAACAGCTGCTTGAGAATACTGATCCAGACAAGAATATTTTTATTGTAACAATCCGTCTTCTAGATTTTTTTGATTTTTTTTTCGTTTTGAAATGTCACAGTAAAAAATACATGAATGGTATACAGATGGGTATCTTTTTTTCTAAATAATTCATTTTTTTCAACATGTTTGATACATATTAAGTATTCGCTGAAAATTTTGCATGTTACAGGAATGAAGGTTTTATCAAATTTACAATAAAAGTTACAGCCGAGTCAATTTGTTCACTAAAAATTAAATAATTTAGAAAAAATTATGAGGATGATAAATAATTCTATCTAAATGACAACAAATACCAAAGTAAGGCAAGACTTTTTCGGTAAAACCAAAACCATTTCTTTTACAATGAAATTATTCTAGAAAAAAAATCATACTCTACCACATCTGGATAAATACAATATATGCAACAAAAAACAAACTTAGCTTAAACTTTCTTTACAGGAAAGAATAGAAAACTCCTAAAACATCAGAACTGATGTCTTTTGAACTGGCAGCATAGCATGAAAAATCTAAATGACCACACATCTTTTTTTATTTTTCTTTATTGCTATCATGCGATTCCTCCAAATCTTCTACATGCAGTTTACCATATCCCACCCATCTCAATTACAAACCCGAAATAAGCCCATTATTTAGTATAAAATCCTAGTTCCTTCCTACATCTTTATAGCCTGTCAATGAGCCTGGCATGGCTTATTACATTTGAACAGCACAGCAAATCATTTCAATTCTTCATAAGTTTTAATCATCATCAAATAATAATATTTGTTATTGATGAATGACAAAATGATGTTGAATTTAATTTTCCTTTACAAGGAATGATGTTTATACAAGTAAAATTATTCATTTTCACAAAGAGATTCATTCTTCCATTTCTAACCTCCAATTATTATGAAAAATTCATCAGTATTGAAGCTACATTGTATATAAAATGTCACAGATATCCAAACTATCTTAATGAATACTGGTTCTTTGAGGACTCACACAACTAAATAAGCCAATCAGCAAGTGTTTCATACGATCAGTGTAATCCCTACCTAAAATTCCGGTTAAATACAGTGCCTCCGAGTAATTTAAATGTAATTGTTGACATATTTTTATTGAATGAAATCTACAGATATTGAACTTTGGAAATATGATTAGTTTTACTAGATTTATGAGCGACGTTGGATTTATATGGTGATCAAAAGTCAGGGGGGTGTTCCCATCACACTTCACCGGTGAGGCTTGTAAACTTCCGGTTGTCAAAAGCAGAAGCTTGTAGCGCTCTTATATGCCACTAAACTCACAAAAACTGCCTTTTGAAGCCTTTGTCAGCTATGTATCTATAAATCTAGACAGTTGTCAAAAGTGGTGAACTTCAAATATTAGAGCTATTAGCTCAAAGCTAAATAATAGCATCAAGTAAATGATTAAGTTGTGCGAGTTCTTTAAGTAGACGTGACAAACTAATATGAAATCGACTATTATACCGACATTTTTCTGCCTTTATTTATCTACCAAAAGTACAATCGTGGTGAAATAGAAGTACAGACCATTTTGATCATGTGACACGTCTTACAGATCATGTGACACCAGTGATTCAGGCTGTCCCACTGCTAACACTAATTAACAGTCATTGCCTGGTGGTCTTGTGTAGACCATTTTAATCTTCCATCAGTCTAGGATTAGAAAAGCACTTGCATATACTATAAGTCTTAGTAACTATCAGATTTGTGTTAGGTCAAGTGGACTGATCAACATACTATATATCAGCATATCTGTGGTCAGAGATTACTACTTTTTGTCAATCATAATCAGCTAAAAATTATATTTGTATGTTCAGAACCATTTCCAAACGTTTGCCTTCATTTGTTATAAACCAGAAGGTGATTACAATGTACTAACCTCCTAGTTCTAACATATATCAAAGGAAGTAAACCTTACAACAAGCAAATTAATCTACAATAAATAAAACAGGGCATGGTTGGAGCAGGTTACCAGTCAGAAGCTACATAGTGACACAACTTTCTGGAAGTAGGCCTTTATAAAAAAAGACTGCAGTTTAAAAAGCCTTGGTATAAGGAGGAACTGATCACCAGATTCTCTGTTTTTTCTCATTTGTTACATAGCTGCTCTGTCGACTAAAATGAAGAAGCCTCAGGGTGTACAAGATGAGACATCAATTAATACTGCAGTACGTTGGAGCTTGACGTCCCGGTTGTGGACATTGTGTGTGACAGGTTACGCATGCTCTCTGCCAACTTCTCAAACTCCTCCCATTTCTGAGTGTGGACGGACGACTCCATCTGTTTCAGATGCTGGAGCTCCTGTACCTTGGACTCCATTAAGTGCATCTGGGACCTGAGGGTGTTGATATCGCGATCTTTCGTCTCCAACTGTAATGTTAAAATTCATACTGTTAAAATCATCTGGCCCTCGAGTAAAAGCAGCATATTGCAAGCAATCCATTATAGATCCCCCATCTCCATCTTTCATCAAAACTGTGGTATCAAAATGTACAATGCTTGACAGTTGAACATGAGACATGATTTCAGTACACAATACTTAACCTTCCAGAGAGGTTTGCGCATACAAAATTTGACGATTGCAGGCAACACGTACACAGTAAACAAAGGGCCATAACCCTGTGTAGCGGCACAATACCCTATTTTAGTAGATTACACTCCATCATCCCATGAGGTACTGACATAAACAAATGGCAATTGTAGGTAACAGTTTATAGGAGATATGCCCCACACAAAGTGACACATTGGTGGGATGACTGACAGACTGACAGCCAATACAAACCTATAATTATCTCTGGTAGTACTGGAGTCGGGATTAATAAAATTAGTGCAAGATACGAACCAATTGACAGAAAAATGGTTTAAGAGTTATCTACCTTGCATTATGGTTTTAGAGTTATCTGCCTTGCATTATGGTTTTAGAGTTATCTACCTTGCGTTATGGTTTTAGAGTTATCTACCTTGCGTTATAGTTTTAGAGTTATCTACCTTGCATTATGGTTTTAGAGTTATCTACCTTGCATTATAGTTTTAGAGTTATCTACCTTGCGTTATTGTTTTATAGAGTTATACCTTGCGTTATAGTTTTAGAGTTATCTACCTTGCGTTGCAGGTCAGACACATGGTCCACTAGAAGAGTCTTGTCTTTGCGTAGCTGAGCGTTTTCATGTTCCACCCCGCTCTGGTAGCTCTCGAGCTCCGTGATGCGACTCCGAGATGTATTCACGCTGAGATCAAGGGATGTAGCCACTGCTTCCTGCTTCACCAACTGGAATTATACAGAATGTTATGGTAACATGGTGTCTTACATACTGTCTCTGTGATTGTGTGAGAGTGATCTCCCCTAGAATGTTTTGTGTGAGAATAGTCTCCCCGAGTATTCTAAATTACTTGAACCTTACTATTACATGTATGGGTTTTCTAACAAGTGTATCTTCTTGTGTTTCCTTCATTTCCTTGGGTTTATATGTCTGGTCACAATGAGGAACTATTTTCCCCCAATTTCAATTTACATCTCTGAGATCACATCCTCAAATTTTCAGGGGTTAGGCTGACTAAATATTCTCTGCAACCCTGGAATATGTCATGATGAAACTTAAGGCTCTATACACGCCACCTGGTGGATGATACCAGTTAGACTAGTTTGATGTAAATTGACTAGATTTGATGTCTGATATCTCTCTTTTGTATTCTTCAAAGACAGGTATTTCAGCCTAGCGATTGGCCAGGTTTTTTTTACCTGAAACTTATCAAATTGCTTACCATATACTTTTGATTTTGTCATGACATATTCCAGGGGCACAGAGAATGTAGGTGATCAAAACCCCCTGGATGTTAGTGTTCTCAGGTCATGGTAACGAAGCATATTCCCTTAATTTGAGTTTACATAATGTTTCAAACATTCAGCAGATGGCCTATTACAGTATTAATCAGCAGGGTTATCTTACAACATCTGGAAATTACAAAAAATATGTTGCTCTGGTAAGAGATATTATGTAGAAGATACAATTTCCTTTTTTTATTTTTGTTGCCAGAAAACATCAATCACTAGTTTGACAAAAAATTCAACTGTTGCAAAAATACTATTACATTTAGTTCCTGTAATTGTTTAGTTATTCTTGGTGGGTTATAAGTGATGTTGAGAAATTAGACATCAAATTTGTTTTTGTGGCAGATTTCATGCATTAAAAAAAAGAAGATATTTATATGTATATGAACTTTACTTAAACTATTTCACAATGTTTGCTGGAAAAAGTGTAAGAATATTACTGTTGAAATAAGAATGTAGTTAGCTTTCTGTTTCGTGAGTATATATAACTAATTGTAAATTCTATAGGAAATGTTATGATTATTATCAAATTTTGAATATCACATGCAGGATGAAAATCAAGGGGCATAATTTTATATTCAGTTAAAATAATTATTGTATTTGAAAATCAGTGATAAGTTTCATTAGTGTGTAAACACCACAAGTCAAATCTAAATTTTGTCATGTTCATCATCTCATTTAACAGGTAGTGCTGCATTAACATTACAAGTGACTTAAAAAGTTAGTTTTAATGCTAAACGGCAACACTGCATGAACCAAAGTTTTAAACATGCTGAGTATGTAATCTGTAGTTGATTTGAGGTATTCACCACCTCAAAACATCACTGAAGTCTGAATTGATTCTGTTATTGACAATACTCAATAAAAGTGATTTAGATATTATTTTGAAGAGATCCCTTTAACAAGCGTAACGAGGAAAGCATCTAGTAGCCTCCGGGCTGTATGCAATCCACGTTAAAGAAATAAAGAATTATAACAAGCGTAACAGAGGTCAATATCTTTTCCAATGCCTCCGCCAGGAGTCGAACCCGAGACCTCTGGTTTACTAACCTTGTGCTCTACAGAATAAGCTTAAGAGAAATTCTCTTAGTCGATAGGTAGCGGCTAGTATTTTTTACCAGGGTGACACCAGTCAGTAAGATATGCAGTATGGAAGTATTTCTCTTTCTGTCTGTTTAGTTAGGCAAGTTCTGTATTACTTTTCATTTCAAGTTATTTTGTAATAATGTGAATGAAAAACAATCCTTCGTTATTTAGACTTAATACTCACATCCCCCTCTTCAGTGCTTTCTTTAGAGTCATCTGTCTTTTTAATAAAACCACAAATTCCAAAATCATTATGCTAAATCTGATGATTTAATGATCAGAGTTCAGTTTACCTGAAGTTTTTGTACTGTTTTTTAGTATCCTTGTTTTAGCAGCTGCTACTCCAGGTGACTAGTTTAAGTTATAATATGCCATGTATTTAAATGTACATATCACACACTGATAGGTTTATGTGATGCTAATGTCTGCTGATGTACCTGTGTATATGTATATCTGCTAGCCCAATCATGTTATATGTGTAACTTGTTTATGTGATGCTAATGTCTGCTGATGTACCTGTGTATATGT